TGAGGAAAATGGTGAAAATATATGATTTTTAAAGAAAATTCTCAGGGTGGGGGGGGTTTCCTGAAGCCCAAAAAAACCCTCTGGATCCGCCACTGCAATGGGTGTTTCAAAGACCAGGGTAGCTCCAAAGAATAGTTTTAACAGTCTGATCAGACAAACATAAAACATACTGTATAACATGAAATCTTCGTTGTGTATAAATATTCCTGGCTTTCATGGTTTTTATTGAACCACAACAATAAATACAACGAATTTGAATGACATAACGTATGCACTGATTGTTAATAGAGGACATCAACGAACGTTTGTACCACGAAACAATCTAAATGACTTCAAACCACAAAGGAAAGCACCCACGAACATTTCGTGTTATACAGTATAACTATTTACTGTATCTTCTTCAATCCTCTATATTATTGGCCTTGACAGTTACACATTTCTTTTGATAGAAAGGGGGTATGATATCAGGAATTTTTAAGAGCATAACCTTCCAGGTATTTCAATTTTGTAACAGATCAATAAGATATGTACATAGCAAACAACTGTATTAGTAATGCTACTGATGCCAAACACAATACAAAATCTGCAATGTCAAATCAGACCTGAAATTACAGACTTGAAAATCGGCACTTCAAAACATCAAATCCATGGTTTGACAGTTTGTATTCAAATAATTTAATATACATGGACCTTTTAAGTCCCAAAAATAATACAAGCACTTTTCCAGACCCCTTCTAAATCATACAACTTCTTATTTTCAATGCTGTGCAAATCGTGTTATATTGACTAGCATATTATACAAAATTTAGTTTCATGTAGTTACATGTACAAATGTAGCTACATATACTTGAAACAAACCGGTCACTATTGCAACCATCACATACACCCATGGTACATGTATACTATATTCAGGTCTCCAACGTTAACCATCATATACCCCATGGTACATGTATACTATATTCAGGTCTCCAACCATCACATACACCCATGGTCCATGTTTACTATATTCAGGTCTCCAACCATCACATACCCCCATAGTACATGTATACTATATTCAAGTCTCCAACCATCACATACCCCCATGGTACATGTATCCTATATTCAGGTCTCCAACCATCACATACCCCAATGGTACATGTATACTATATTCAGGTCTCCAACAATCACATACCCCCATGGTACATGTATACTGTATTCAGGTCTCCAACCATCACATACCCCCATGGTCCATGTATACTATATTCAGGTCTCCAACAATCACATACCCCCATGGTACATGTATACTGTATTCAGGTCTCCAACCATCACATACCCCCATAGTACATGTATACTATCTTCAGGACTCCAACCATCACATACACCCATGGTCCATGTTTACTATATTCAGGTCTCCAACCATCACATACACCCATGGTCCATGTTTACTATATTCAGGTCTCCAACCATCACATACACCCATGGTACATGTATACTATATTCAGGTCTACAACCATCACATACCCCCATGGTACATGTATCCTATATTCAGGTCTCCAACCATCACATACCCCCAAGGTACATGTATACTATATTCAGGTCTCCAACGTTAACCATCATATACCCCATGGTACATGTATACTATATTCATGTCTCCAACCATCAAATACACCCATGGTCCATGTATACTATATTCAGGGCTCCAACCATCACATACACCCATGGTCCATGTTTACTATATTCAGGTCTCCAACCATCACATACACCTATGGTCCATGTATACTATATTCAGGTCTCCAACGATCACATACCCCCATGGTACATGTATACTATATTCGGGTCTCCAACCATCACATACCCCCATAGTACATGTATACTATATTGACTAGCATATTATACAAAATTTAGTTTCATGTAGTTACATGTACAAATGTAGCTACATATACTTGAAACAAACCGGTCACTATTGCAACCATCACATACACCCATTGTACATGTATACTATATTCAGGTCTCCAACGTTAACCATCATATACCCCATGGTACATGTATACTATATTCAGGTCACCAACCATCACATACCCCCATGGTACATGTATCCTATATTCAGGTCTCCAACCATCACATACCCCCATCGTACATGTATACTATATTCAGGTCTCCAACAATCTCATACCCCCATGGTACATGTATACTATATTCAGGACTCCAACCATCACATACCCCCATGGTACATGTATCCTATATTCAGGTCTCCAACCATCACATACCCCCATAGTACATGTATACTATATTGACTAGCATATTATACAAAATTTAGTTTCATGTAGTTACATGTACAAATGTAGCTACATATACTTGAAACAAACCGGTCACTATTGCAACCATCACATACACCCATGGTACATGTATACTATGTTCAGGTCTCCAACGTTAACCATCATATACCCCATGGTACATGTATACTATATTCATGTCTCCAACCATCAAATACACCCATGGTCCATGTATACTATATTCAGGTCTCCAACCATCTCATACACCCATGGTCCATGTATACTATATTCAGGGCTCCAACCATCACATACACTCATGGCCCATGTATACTATATTCAGGTCTCCAACCATCAGATACCCCCATAGTACATGTATACTATATTCAAGTCTCCAACCATCACATACCCCCATGGTACATATATACTATATTCAGGTCTCCAACCATCACATCCCCCCATGGTCCATGTATACTATATTCAGGTCTCCAACAATCACATACCCCCATGGTACATGTATACTGTATTCAGGTCTCCAACCATCACATACCCCCATGGAACATGTATACTATATTCAGGTCTCCAACCATCAGATACCCCCATAGTACATGTATACTATATTCAGGACTCCAACCATCACATACCCCCATGGTACATGTATCCTATATTCAGGTCTCCAACCATCACATACCCGCATAGTACATGTATACTATATTCAGGGCTCCAACCATCACATACCCCCATAGTACATGTATACTATATTCAGGACTCCAACCATCACATACCCCCATGGTACATGTATCCTATATTCAGGTCTCCAACCATCACATACCCCCAAGGTACATGTATACTATATTCAGGTCTCCAACGTTAACCATCATATACCCCATGCTACATGTATACTATATTCAGGTCTCCAACCATCAGATACCCCCATAGTACATGTATACTATATTCAAGTCTCCAACCATCACATACCCCCATGGTACATGTATACTATGTTCAAGACTACTGAACCCAAATATTCCTCACATTTGAGAGTAACAAACATACAACTGACTGCAATAAATAAACACAATAACAAAACAATGATATATAAGAGGTGTCCTGTTGTCTACAATATGGGACGACAGTACACCACTAAACACTAGTACCTCAGTTACTCATAAATACAATCCAGTTTCTTTCCCACCTTGCCAGAAGCATTGTAAGTTTATGTTGGGTCAATTCTGTGTTTGCTATATCTTTACCTTGAAAAATAAACAGGCTGCATGGTCCTGCTCATTTATGTGCACCTACCAGTTCGTAATATTTTAGGGGCAAGAACTGAAACACCTGCAAATGCTAATGCAGGCTTTGAAAGTTTTTGCCAAAGCTCGTCAGAAAATGACACCAAATTACTGTATACCGTCGCTATGTCATAAACAAATTACTCCGGTACAACTGGTCCAACAATTGGTCTGTACTGAAACATTTACAGATTTCATAATTAATAACAATGAAATATTAACATTTTAATCCTCCAGAAAACAATCAGTTTTCCTCTTCATGAAGTCAATGGATTGCATTTTTAAAATTGCCCCATGAAGTATTTTACACTGTATGATAGCTATAGCTTTACCATGGTATAACACCAATTCTGAATAATTGATGTTTGAGAGTATGCATACAATTTAACTGCATTTTACCTGTATATGATAATTAACACGATTGAGATAATGACACGTGTTACCTCCATGTAACCAGAAAGCTGATCCTGACAACATCTCATACACAAATAATTACAGTAAAACATTTTTCAATGAATCTTTTCATGAAACTACCTTGCTGTACACAAGATTATTTCACACTTTACACTATTGGGGACATAGATCTGTAGCTTTAATGCACGACATTGTCACATCCACCATCGATTTGTCCAATCCAGTTAATTCTGGTGTTAAGTTTGGTTTGGTTTGATGTCTTCTATCCATTTCATTGATACCGTATTTCATGGTTTGGCCAGTACACATGAAATTGATGCTAGTCAATTTTAACCCAGTTTGTTCTACAACATCTTGAAATTCTCCCGTTATACAGTGATGGCTTTACAACTTAAATAGACAACTGTATAGAAATATTCAAAGACTGGTGATCAACATTTAATATTCATACCTCTGAATTCCAGCATGTTTATGCTTCAATCTGAATACCCCTAGTAATTATGAAATCATGGTGGTCAGGTGACGCAGTGGATAAGCACACTTGCCTTTCACAAAGGTGGCCGGGGTTTGATTCCATGATCGAGCGGGAAAAGGTATGGGGTCGCCTGCTCGACCACTTTGGTACTCTCCTGGTACTTCAGTTTCCTCCCACATTAAGACGCCTGCGCCCAAACATCCGGGCCAACATAAGGATTAATATACATTGAAATAACTTGTTTCATAATTGTTGTAAAAAAATACTTCGTGATAACGAGGTTCGACTGTAGTTAATATTTACCTAATTATGAATTTAAAATTTTGCCCGATTGTTTCATCCATATAACAATGTTTGATACAATAGGGCCTAGAGATATTATTATGATAGTATAGTTGTTCAATCAGAATTTGGTTTGTGTTTCTTTTGAACCTTTTGAATCTACATACATGTAGATATATTTTAGACACCTTTACAAATTGACTCAAAAAAATACTCATTGATTCTGTAATGTTGACAGATTTGTTGCTTCCACAGTGTATCCTGTGTAAACGAGACCCTGGATAGTTCAGAAACTTCTACAAACAATCAGTTAAAATTAGATTACATAAACTTATAAATCTCTCTATTCAAAAAATGTGTTCTGTCAAACAAAATGTATCATTTTGAAGTTCATCTTAAGCACATGTGTACTATAGTTGGTGGACCAACATCATATGTGTCCTAATCCAAACACTCACACATACACACACAGCCAGTTGTATAAAGACACTTTAGAAGGCAGCTAGCTTTGAGGTCATCCTCAAGCTTGGAGGTCAATATCTACCAAAATCATGAAAATGTCCTCCTAAACCTCCTGGTAAGTGGATGGAGTTGTGAAATCAAAAATATTTTAATCCTCTATATTAAACACTCCAACATACAGATAAATAAATAGAATTCATTATTGTTTCCTTATAAATATGTTTTCAAAGGAAATATTACAATTTTGAGTGTTTGAGATATTTTGATTCCTAATTAAATCCAAACTATTGGCCCCACGCGTGACGCCATTGAACCTGGTCAGAGTCACATACACGTAGGTAAAATACTCATACACATACATCTAAGGTATACACTTGACAAATTAGCTGTGGCATCAGCTTCACAGAGACTAGCATCTATAAGAATCCAATCTCAACACGGCAAGGTCAGCACCATAGTATCCAGCCAGACTACATACAGGGCAAGGTCATAGGTGATCTGTAAAACGAGGCGACAGGCGAGAAGCCTTCCAACCGACCAGCGAGATAGTGGATAAGCACCAGATTCTTAGACCATCAATGGTCAGTTTTCACAATAGCAATAACATCAATATTCCACTTTGAGATAATCTCATGGATTGGACAATGTCCAGCTGTACTCAACCACACTGGCTGTTTCTCTTCCAATGTTTGCCTGTTAAAGGTCTGTTTAGGCTGTGACCAAGCATCATACCCATGACCAACATTCATATTGAATGACCTGGACACTGACAGAATAACTTGACTGATCCCGATTCCTCAAGAAGTGAAAACCATAACTTGACCTGTTCTCAGATCTGTAAACCGTCATATGACTACTGGTCATTATAACAATGTACCATGGTCAGTATAATTTGACCAACACTAACTTCTGTAGGACACAATCTGCTATGAACTCTGTATGACTTTGATGAAGTTTTTGTAATTTTCCACAGACTGTTGGTTGTGACGATTAGTCTCCATCAGCTCTTCACGTTTCTGTCGTTGTTGCTAGAAAAAAGAGCACAATATCATGAAACCAGTAAGGGAATGGGTATTGGGAAAAACAAAAGTTGTGGGGACTCCATCCTAAGCCTACCTTTATTCGTCTAAACTAGTTCAGAAAATGAAAATGCTTCAGCCCATCAAAAATGATGGCGGCCATTTTGGATATTTTGGATTTTTTAAAAGTTAACATCCTTAAGCCCTTACTATGGTTGTGTTAAAGACCGTAAATTCTGATTAGATTTTTCATTTTGAAACATATACTATATAAACTGTTATATTTTCCTCTGAAACATTCGACTCCACAGACTTTCTACACTGGCTTTTCATCTTGAAGTCTGCACATACCAACTACATAACCATCCTAGATAGTGCACAAAATGCCCCAAAACATGAATGATCAACTTGCGAAAAACAGAATTCACAAAGCAACATTTGCTATTAACCTTTGTACATTCAAATAAGTCACTCAAAATAAGCAAGACCATCTAACAAACCATTTTTAACATATCAAATGTCATCTCTGGCCCCATGTCAACCCTGACCTCCTAACACCTTATTCTCACCACTTACCATTAAGGCCTCGCCAAGCTGCTTTGTTTTTGACTCCAGCAAGACCACCTCATTGTTCAACTCCATACTCTTCTTATGTAACTTTTTCCTCTCCTCTTCCTTGGCTGCAAAAACAATCAGAAGAAAAGAGGTTAGCGCTAATTCACGTATTCTATAGTACAGGAGATGATAGCCAAGCCAATATTCACAAAGTACTTTCCGGTAAACATACTCTAAATTTAAATATTTCCCAAGGATTTTCACTTGCAGTAATTAGTTCTCAGATTGATACCAACACATTATGAGTCGTGAATTTTATACATGGGTACAATAACCTAAACAGTGAGTAATTATCACAGGGTGTCGGTGTTCTCCCCAGGCTGTTTTAAGCGTAACGGTATCGTTACGCATGAATTTTGAGCCGTTACGCATGCATTTGACCGTTACGCATGCATTTGACCGTTACACATTAAGTTTTCACAAACCTCTTCTCCCCTTTCCGATCAGACTCGCACTCATTAGACTAGCTTTTGTACGATCGACACCGTGTGAATTTTTTATAAACATCGTTTTATTGATAAGATTACACAAGTGATGTAACTTAATGATTCCTGTCCCAATGCACTGTGGTTTTTCCTATATGGCAAACCTCCTCTTAACTTCTGTTTGAATACGACTGAAGCACAGTAGGGTCAGGACACTTCTGTTGACCAGGTAGCACAGCCAGTTACAGTGACAGTATAACAATCTGAAGTTCTGGGGTTTAGAATCCCGGTTTAGCCCCGCAATTCTTTTGCACTCGAAACATTGTTGATTATATTTTGTTGATTCATCTTTATCATACATGTATCTAGTAAAAGTCCCACAAGGTTTGATTTTCTTTTCTGAAATGATTTATCAAAGCTATTGTCATCTCAGAAAATTTGCGCCGTCCATTGTACCATCTTTATAAGTTCTTTGTCAGTTTGACCCTTTCTATTATTATCTCTTATCTGTTTGATTGAGCCGTGAATGCACCTTGAGGTAACTTTTGATCTAAATCTAATACTGCTGTGCATAAAAAACAACCTTTAAAGTGAGTGTGTCGTTTCACATATTTACTAGTACAGTACTTATTGTGAAAGAAATAGAACCGATCATTGCAATATGAGAAAGAAATATTAAGCTCTCCCTCCAGCCATCTTGTCTTTATGATCACTTTCAAAATAAAACGCACACAAGTACAGACCAAGGGGAACCTAGTACATATTTGAGAAGCATCCCTCCAGCGGTAATCCTGAGAAATAGTGATAACAAACCTTCAATGTCAAATTCAAAGATGGCTGCCTGTCGGTCATTTTGTTTATCCCATCAGTCTCAAAAGTAAACATGCACAATAAAGGACAATGGATCGGAGAACCTACATAACCAATTTGAGAAAGATTAATCCAGGATTCCCGAGAAATAGCACTAACAAACATTAACTGTCATATTCAAAGTAGGCAACCTGTCGGCCATTTTGTTTATCTAATCAGTCTCAAAAGTTAACATGCACAGCTAGAGATTATGGGGCACCTTCATATATACCAATTTGAGAAACATCCTATAAGTTAATCCTAAGAAATAGCGATAACAAACCATCACTGTCACAATCAAAGATGGCTGCCTGTCAGCTGATTTATCCAATCAGTCTCAAAAGTGAACATGTACAACTACGGACCAAAGGAAACCAACATATTAAATTTGAGAAAGATTGCTAAGGACCTTCCGGAGAAATAGCGATAAATAGCATTCACTGTCAAAATCCAAGATGGCTGCCTGTCGGCCATTTTGTTTATCCGATTAGTCTCAAAATTAAAAATGCACAACTAGAGACCAAGGGAAACCTTCACATCAAAGTTGGAAAAGATCCCTTTAGGACTTTCTGAGAGAGAAAATAGCGATAACAAGACTTGTTTAAAGACGGACGGCGGACGGACGACTGACCACAGACGAAGGGCAATTTGAATAGCCCACCATCATCTGATGGTGTGCTAAAAACAGCTTCCAACACTTCATTACAGTTTTTGGCAGTGGTACAGGTATGTAATAGATGAATGGCAGTGGTACAGGTATGTAATAGATGAATATCAGGAAGGAATGTAACTCCAGTACAAATTAAATGCGTTTTTACACAAAGGGAGGTAACTCAAGTGTATGGTCAGGGATACAACGGTGTGACTTACCAGCTTTGTTTGCAATAAAGGAATGTACAATAGCCAGGGTTTCTGATGTCCAGGCACTTGACCTTCCAGAAGCCTACAACAAATAAAACAGAGATATCTAACTGGACACTTCTCTATCACCTAGGACAATCAAACATTAACAATTTATGCACTACTACTTTTGCTTTATATACTGCAAACATATTTGTATTACTGCTCAACTCTATAAGATCCAAAATCAAATGGTAAATAAAGTCTATTTGTTGAATAAACCAGAGATGGTGTCAAAGCCACCCAATATGCGAATGTTTAAAAATTCCACCAAGCTATGTATATTTGAGAGTTATACTTCAAGGCATTTAGTAGGAATATCCCTAGCATATGTAAAAGCAATTCGTTATCTAGTTGTTACTTTATCTCGTGGTATGGGGGATAATCCCAAATTAAAATGCCAGTGCACAACTACAAAAGATACCGATCATTCATGCAAAGTTTCAATGAAATCCACCTGTTAGTTAAGGAGGAGTTGCACGGACAAGTATTTCGCACAAAGGGGCATAACTCCATCAAAAAGGGTAGAAATCCCAAATTAAAATGCTGGTGCACAACTACATAAAATACCAATCATTCATGCCAAGTTTCACTGAAATCCACTTGTTAGTTGAGGAGGAGTTGCACGGACCAGTTACTCGGACAACAGACAGACAGACATCCAGACAGGTTGATTCCAGTATACCCCCCCCTAACTTCGTTGCAGGGGGTTTATAACCAACAGTCAGAGCTTGAACAATACTGAGGAAATCTTAAGGGAAAACAGATTGATGGTCACAGCCTATCAGCAAACTTGGGAAAGCTTAGTGAACTCCTGTCAAGCTTACCTGACACTTGGGACAGCTCCAGCGCCCATCAGGGACACAGGGGAGAGGTGGGTCAAGGCACTGAAGATGATACACCTTACTACAGGTATCACACAGCAAGAGCTGGCCCGAGTGACCACACACTGCACACAAGTCTTCATGTACGTCCTGGAATAGACAATACACAATCCTTTACTCTACATAACGGGAGCTAGCCTTAGAGACCACACAATCACATAGGACACCATGTACGTCCTCGAGTACACAACACACACAAACCTTTACTCTACATAACAGGAGCTAACCTTAGAGACCACACAATCACAAAGGGCATCATGTATGTCCTGGTGTACACAACACACACAATTCGTTACTATACATAACGGGAGCTAGCCTTAGAACCTACACAATCACATAGGTCATCATGTACGTCCTCGAGTACAAAACACACACAATCCTTTACTCTACATAACCGGAGCTAGCCTTAGAGACCACACAAACACAAAGGTCATCATGTATGTCCTGGTGTACACAACATACACAATCCTTAACTCTACATAACGGGAGCTAGCCTTAGAACCTACACAATCACATAGGTCATCATGTACGTCCTCGAGTACACAACACACACAAACCTTTACTCTACATAACAGGAGCTAGCCTTCGAGACCACACAATCACATAGGTCATCATGTGGTATCACACAGCAAGAGCTGGCCCGAGTGACCACACACTGCACACAAGTCTTCATGTACGTCCTGGAACAGACAATACACAATCCTTTACTCTACATAACAGGATCTAGCCTTAGAGACCACACAATCACATAGGTTCATCATGTATGTCCTGGTGTACACAACATACACAATCCTTAACTCTACATAACGGGAGCTAGCCTTAGAACCTACACAATCACATAGGTCATCATGTACGTCCTCGAGTACAAAACACACACAATCCTTTACTCTATATAACGGGAGCTAGCCTGAGAGACCACACAATCACAAAGGTCATCATTTATGTCCTCCAGTACACAACATACACAATCCTTAACTCTACATAACTGGAGCTAGCCTTAGAGACCACACAAACACAAAGGTCATCATGTATGTCCTCGAGTAGACAACACACACAATCCTTTACTCTACATAACAGGAGCTAGCCTTAGAGACCACACAATCACAAAGGTCATCATGTATGTCCTGGTGTACACAACACACACAATCCTTTACTCTACATAACGGGAGCTAGCCTTAGAGACCACACAATCACAAAGGTCATCATGTATGTCCTCCAGTACACAACATACACAATCCTTTACTCTACATAACAGGAGCTAGCCTTAGAGACCACACAATCACAAAGGTCATCATGTACGTCCTGGTGTACACAACACACACAATCCTTTACTCTACATAACGGGAGCTAGCCTTAGAGACCACACAATCACAAAGGTCATCATGTACGTCCTCGAGTACACAACACACACAATCCTTTACTCTACATAACGGGAGCTAGCCTTAGAGACCACACAATCACAAAGGTCATCATGTACGTCCTCGAGTACACAACACACACAATCCTTTACTCTACATAACGGGAGCTAGCCTTAGAGACCACACAATCACAAAGGTCATCATGTACGTCCTCGAGTACACAACACACACAATCCTTTACTCTACATAACGGGAGCTAGCCTTAGAGACCACACAATCACAAAGGTCATCATGTACGTCCTCGAGTACACAACACACACAATCCTTTACTCTACATAACGGGAGCTAGCCTTAGAGACCACACAATCACAAAGGTCATCATGTACGTCCTCGAGTACACAACACACACAATCCTTTACTCTACATAACGGGAGCTAGCCTTAGAGACCACACAATCACAAAGGTCATCATGTACGTCCTCGAGTACACAACACACACAATCCTTTACTCTACATAACGGGAGCTAGCCTTAGAGACCACACAATCACAAAGGTCATCATGTACGTCCTCGAGTACACAACACACACAATCCTTTACTCTACATAACGGGAGCTAGCCTTAGAGACCACACAATCACAAAGGTCATCATGTACGTCCTCGAGTACACAACACACACAATCCTTTACTCTACATAACGGGAGCTAGCCTTAGAGACCACACAATCACAAAGGTCATCATGTACGTCCTGGTGTACACAACACACACAATCATTTACTCTACATAACGGGAGCTAGCCTTAGAGACCACACAATCACAAAGGTCATCATGTACGTCCTCGAGTACACAACACACACAATCCTTTACTCTACATAACGGGAGCTAGCCTTAGAGACCACACAATCACAAAGGTCATCATGTACGTCCTCGAGTACACAACACACACAATCATTTACTCTACATAACGGGAGCTAGCCTTAGAGACCACACAATCACAAAGGTCATCATGTACGTCCTCGAGTACACAACACACACAATCATTTACTCTACATAACGGGAGCTAGCCTTAGAGACCACACAATCACAAAGGTCATCATGTACGTCCTCGAGTACACAACACACACAATCATTTACTCTACATAACGGGAGCTAGCCTTAGAGACCACACAATCACAAAGGTCATCATGTACGTCCTCGAGTACACAACACACACAATCATTTACTCTACATAACGGGAGCTAGCCTTAGAGACCACACAATCACAAAGGTCATCATGTACGTCCTCGAGTACACAACACACACAATCATTTACTCTACATAACGGGAGCTAGCCTTAGAGACCACACAATCACAAAGGTCATCATGTACGTCCTCGAGTACACAACACACACAATCATTTACTCTACATAACGGGAGCTAGCCTTAGAGACCACACAATCACAAAGGTCATCATGTACGTCCTCGAGTACACAACACACACAATCATTTACTCTACATAACGGGAGCTAGCCTTAGAGACCACACAATCACAAAGGTCATCATGTACGTCCTCGAGTACACAACACACACAATCCTTTACTCTACATAACGGGAGCTAGCCTTAGAGACCACACAATCACAAAGGTCATCATGTACGTCCTCGAGTACACAACACACACAATCCTTTACTCTACATAACGGGAGCTAGCCTTAGAGACCACACAATCACAAAGGTCATCATGTACGTCCTCGAGTACACAACACACACAATCCTTTACTCTACATAACGGGAGCTAGCCTTAGAGACCACACAATCACAAAGGTCATCATGTACGTCCTCGAGTACACAACACACACAATCCTTTACTCTACATAACGGGAGCTAGCCTTAGAGACCACACAATCACAAAGGTCATCATGTACGTCCTCGAGTACACAACACACACAATCCTTTACTCTACATAACGGGAGCTAGCCTTAGAGACCACACAATCACAAAGGTCATCATGTACGTCCTCGAGTACACAACACACACAATCCTTTACTCTACATAACGGGAGCTAGCCTTAGAGACCACACAATCACAAAGGTCATCATGTACGTCCTCGAGTACACAACACACACAATCCTTTACTCTACATAACGGGAGCTAGCCTTAGAGACCACACAATCACAAAGGTCATCATGTACGTCCTCGAGTACACAACACACACAATCCTTTACTCTACATAACGGGAGCTAGCCTTAGAGACCACACAATCACAAAGGTCATCATGTACGTCCTCGAGTACACAACACACACAATCCTTTACTCTACATAACGGGAGCTAGCCTTAGAGACCACACAATCACAAAGGTCATCATGTACGTCCTCGAGTACACAACACACACAATCCTTTACTCTACATAACGGGAGCTAGCCTTAGAGACCACACAATCACAAAGGTCATCATGTACGTCCTCGAGTACACAACACACACAATCCTTTACTCTACATAACGGGAGCTAGCCTTAGAGACCACACAATCACAAAGGTCATCATGTACGTCCTCGAGTACACAACACACACAATCCTTTACTCTACATAACGGGAGCTAGCCTTAGAGACCACACAATCACAAAGGTCATCATGTACGTCCTCGAGTACACAACACACACAATCCTTTACTCTACATAACGGGAGCTAGCCTTAGAGACCACACAATCACAAAGGTCATCATGTACGTCCTCGAGTACACAACACACACAATCCTTTACTCTACATAACGGGAGCTAGCCTTAGAGACCACACAATCACAAAGGTCATCATGTACGTCCTCGAGTACACAACACACACAATCCTTTACTCTACATAACGGGAGCTAGCCTTAGAGACCACACAATCACAAAGGTCATCATGTACGTCCTCGAGTACACAACACACACAATCCTTTACTCTACATAACGGGAGCTAGCCTTAGAGACCACACAATCACAAAGGTCATCATGTACGTCCTCGAGTACACAACACACACAATCCTTTACTCTACATAACGGGAGCTAGCCTTAGAGACCACACAATCACAAAGGTCATCATGTACGTCCTCGAGTACACAACACACACAATCCTTTACTCTACATAACGGGAGCTAGCCTTAGAGACCACACAATCACAAAGGTCATCATGTACGTCCTCGAGTACACAACACACACAATCCTTTACTCTACATAACGGGAGCTAGCCTTAGAGACCACACAATCACAAAGGTCATCATGTACGTCCTCGAGTACACAACACACACAATCCTTTACTCTACATAACGGGAGCTAGCCTTAGAGACCACACAATCACAAAGGTCATCATGTACGTCCTCGAGTACACAACACACACAATCCTTTACTCTACATAACGGGAGCTAGCCTTAGAGACCACACAATCACAAAGGTCATCATGTACGTCCTCGAGTACACAACACACACAATCCTTTACTCTACATAACGGGAGCTAGCCTTAGAGACCACACAATCACAAAGGTCATCATGTACGTCCTCGAGTACACAACACACACAATCCTTTACTCTATATAACGGGAGCTAGCCTTAGAGACCACACAATCACATAGGTCATCATGTACGTCCTGGTGTACACAACACACACAATCCTTAACTCTATATAACGGGAGCTAACCTTAGAGACCACACAATCACATAGGTCATCATGTACGTCCTCGAGTACACAACACACACATTCATTTACTCTATATAACGGGAGCTGCTATCCCTTATCCAAGTCCACCAATATTGTTACTAACAAACTATGTGAAGCATGTTATCAGACACTGACCTCAAACCCATTTTTGAACATGACGTTCCTGAAGCCACCTCCGCTGTCATTGCTGTCAGGTGTACCGGGATGGCTGTTGCTCGGCGACCTAGCATGCTTGGGTGGTCGGCCTGTAAACAAAGGGGCATCAATGACTAGTACACACTCTGTATAAAACATAGAGTTGTTGGTTGCATAGTTTAACAGACCATATATTTACACGAAAAAAATAAATCATGGAGCTCAACAACCTACGACCTTTTAACCGAATGTTGAAGGTCATTTTTGATCTATACAATAGGCACCTAATAATTTGCCAGTATGATCACGTCGATACCGGCAGGCTACTAAATAAACCATCGAGTTTAAACTTCTTTGTCTAGGGTAAATTGTACACAGATTTTTGTATTCAACAGCTAGACACTTTGATGTGAATCATGATTTTTCATTTATTTAGAGTTTTAGAGTTTTGATTTCTTGCAACAGATGGAAATCTAAGAAGATAGCTTCCACACAAGATAGGGGCCATTAAAGAGCTATCTCACTGAAATATCATAACCTGACACTCCACCGAAGTTTAATCAGTCCCAGACAGAAAATTATTTGTATCAAAAATTTGGTGTTACTAAATAATGTATAAAAGGAAGATGTGTACTACCAAAAAATATGTTTAAACTTAACCGACACCTATGATGGGGTTTATTGATTGTACTTACCTCGTGGTCGCTTCATTCCTGGTAAGCTGTTTAAAACCAGAGATGTTGGTCTTCTTCGCTGAAATGAGATTCACCATTCTACTTTTCACTATTTTTCGGTTTGTGATATTGAACTATGCTGATTTTGCAATAAATGACAAATACCAGTTCCCTATTTCACAATCTCAGATCTGTGAAGCAGCCTTTTGGCCACACATGAATTTTTTTTTTAATTCTATCAAGAAATTATGTCTATTTCTCAATTTTACTTTTGACCAACATAAGCACAGTCATGTCTTAGATAGCACAAATTTACAAGAAAATTTTGTCATTTCAACTTGCATATCAAAATAACTTACATGAATTTCTGGTTCAAAATTGTACATAGGGTTGGCAGTTGTTCTCCTTTTCCGTTCATGTTTTCTGCTCTGCATTTCTGTCAACATCAACATTAAATATAAATGAAGTAAATCAATATAGGCATCACGGATGTGGAAATTCTATCCTACAGAATTAGGGGTCAAAACAATTCTTTACCCAAGGGTCTAATATCCACACTAGAGCTGTTTTCTGAATACTTAAAACTCATCAGACTATAAGTTATCAGGGTTCTTTCATTAGATACCAACTACTGTCATTATTCAAAGTTTGTTTATTCAGCCACCTAAGTTATCAGTCAATACAGACTTTGTTATGTTACCTTTGGATACGGACAAATGAAATGAATTATGTGTTTCTGCTTATATATCAGCTCTCACAAATCTGTAGAGAAAATAGGTGAAAAACTTTTGAAAAATCTTTTTACAAAAGAACAAATGCCGATACTGATTCAAACTTCAGCAGTGCTTGTTTAAGATGGGCCTGAAGATCGGGATAAAACTATGAAAAGTTATTTCCCTTTACTTGTTTCTCACAGTATTACCTAAGCCAGTAAAATCCATATTTAATAAATCTTCAGATTTTCACATTGAAAACACTATATGTATAGTAAGTCTTGTATTAACATCTACTGTCTTGATAAATTCACTATCATTATTGAGAAAGAAAAAGTCAAAATTCAATCTGTGACAAATATTTCGCTGTATACAATTTATTCAAAGACAGGATACATAACTTTGTAAATACTACCAGTAAATAAAGACATATTTAAAAGATCACCATGACTTTTAAAAATTGACAGAACATATTTTTAACAATACAAAATTTAACCGTTTTTCTTTCTAAATAGCATTGTATTAACATTTGCATCAGCCCTTCATTCATAAAACTTTCATACTGTCAACAAACCTTTTAAAGTCTCCTGAGTCACTAATTCTAAGACAGCCATGTAAGCCAGTTTCTGGAAATTAAAATAATGATACAGATTACAATATTGAAATATTGGACCAATAAACAATCAGATCACTTCCCTCGGATTTGAGATGTAATCAAACAAAAAGGGGCTGCAATGTGACACAGCTGGATTTATGTGACTGGATGAAAGGGGCTGCATTATGACAGCTAGATTTATGTGAAATTGTTGTCCGTCACCTAAAACACTTGCTGGTTACCCAGAAAGTAGAACAATTAGTGGTAGCTGGATCAGGCAGGCTCAATTGCAGTTGCATGATATGTAGATCATTCAATATTAATATTTTCAGTTTGAGGACAACATTATACTGCTGTAATATGTCTATACAATACTATACCAGTGAAGCTTGTCACTTAAATGATGTTTTATATTGTTAACTGCCAATAATGATGTAAAACTAACATCAGTATACAGATTTAAGCTGGAATTTACAAAATATGTCAATATCTATCGCCGACACACTAGCTACAGTCAGACAAGTAGATTCCAGCAAGGACTTGTGAATCTCTTCAAGTCCTAAACCAAATAGTAATTTGGACTCTTAGAAACCATCTAATCAGAACATTATTTGAATGATAGATACATAAATAAGAACATTTCTTTCCATAACTGCTTTTAATACAGAAATATTTTGTGTTGATGTCAGTATTTTCGAGGACCTTGCCATACCTCCACTGCGATATATATATATATATATATACTACTCACATTTTGCTAAGGATCACTTTTATCTTTGGGCATATGAGAAAAATAAATATTTTATTTGGTTTATATTGAGATTATTTTTGAAAAATGTGGTGTTCTTTTAATTCAAAAATTCCAAAATTGTAAAAACAGTCGTAAAATGAGCCACAGGAAAAGGGTTACCCTTAAAATTGGTAACAATGAGGTATTCACTAAAAAACTTAAATTGAACAAAACTCATCCATAATAAACAGAAACTGTTTTAGTATCGAGTGTGACGCCCATGAGCATCAATTACAGCTTCACAACGTCTGCGCATGCCCCGAATGAGATCGCGTATCTGGTTTTGTGGGATAGCGCTCCACTCAGCTACCAAAGCTGTTCCCAGCTCCTTGAGCGTTCTTGGCTGAACATTTCTGGCAAAGAGAGCTGTCTGCAGTATGTCCCACACATGCTCGATGGGATTCAGATCTGTTGAGTGGGCTGGCCAATCCATTCGTTGAATAGTCTCTTGCTGTAGATACTGCTAAGTCACACTTCCTCTATGTGGCCTAGAATAATCTTCCATAAGAATAAAGTCAGGGCCGATAGCGCCAGCGCAGGGTCTGACATAGACATCAAGGATTTCAACGTGGTAAATCCGGCCATAACGGTGCCATTATGGAAGACATGGAGGTAAGTTTTCCCACTAAGGCTTATGCTTCCCCACACCATCACTGAACCTCCGCCATATCGGTCATGTTCCACAACGTTACCTGCCTGGAACCACTCCCCAGGTTGTCTCCATACTCTCTGGACTCTTCAGTAAAAAGAACCGGTTCCCATTCCTGAAGAATCCAAGCACTGTGAGCTTGGGTCCAATCTAATCGGTCACTAATATGGCGGGTAGTTAAAGGAACTAACCAGCATCATGAAGACGGTTCCTAACTGTCTGAGTGGCTATCCAGGTACCAGAAGCATTTAGGAGGTTATTTCGTAAAGCTGTCCCTACTCCTTTCACTGTCATTTAACCATTGTCTGGTTCGTCTTTGTGCCATATTAAAACAAAAACTAGCAAAGAATATTCATCAAATTGATTTCCTTAACAATTTGAACAACACCTTACTTAGCCTAGCTTAGCTTTTGAAAGGGGTGTACACATGGAAAAGCGTGCACATGCTTTTAGGGTTGACTGAACACACCCACACAGGACGGGCATATTCGCCCAAAACAGTACGAAAGGAAAATATAACATCCTTTCGAACATTTTTATTTTTATTTTCAAAATATAAGTGATCCTTATAATAGCAAAATGTGAGTAGTATATAAACAGATAAGACATTTTAAGTATCCTACAGATCTATTCTGTTCCATAATAAATACTTGGGATGTTGCTTTCACAAGCTAGATATCTTGACTACTGACATAAAGATTATCCTTCAACTAGCTCTCTGAAATAAAAGTTCCAAATTCTCATCAAAACAAATATTAGGAAAACCAACTTACACCAAGTGCACCCAGTGCACTCAGTCTTCAAGAAAAAGGGCTAACCCTCGAACACATGTATAATGTATGTCAATAAGCATTAATTATACCTCTTTCTCTTCTGGTGAGATCTGTTTCCTCTCCACAGTTTTACGAATGTCACGTAGGTCCGAGTCTGACGGCCGCCGGGCAAGTGAGGAGGTGTAGGACATGCCTTTTGTGCCAACGGGTTTACCCTGGAGTTATAAAATTAACACACAAATCACTCACAACAGGTTTACTCTGGAGTAATAAAATTAACACACAAATCACTCACAACGGGTTTACCATGGAGTAATGAAATTAACACACAAATCACTCACAACGGGTTTACCCTGGAGTAATAAAATTAACACACAAATCACTCACAACGGGTTTACCCTGGAGTAGTAAAATAATCACACAAATCACTCACAACAGGTTTACCCTGGAGTAATAAAATTAACACACAAATCACTCACAACGGATTTACCGTGGAGTAATAAAATTAACACACAAATCACTCACAAAAATAGATGGTTTGTGTTATTATCTTGATACTTAGTTTGTTTAATTAAGAGGTTATACTAGTATCCTCAATAAGATTCATCAGTTTGGAAATATTTAATTTCAAAGTTTTACTTTGATCTACGTATAACGTATCGAATTTTGTGAAAGCTTGACAAAGGGACCAGTCGGTCTTGTTACATTGCGACACGTTTAATACGTACATTGTTTGTGTAGAAAGTAAAACTTTGATATTTTGGTTATACTATTACCTGAGGAAGAATAGAAGGTCGGTGTAGTGGATACTGAGGTACTCGTATTGGTGGAGAGGTTGATCTAGGAGATAGCGAGTTCTGATTGGCAGATGGAGTGGGCGTGGCACTGCCTCCCTCAAGCTTGACTTGACACACATCTTCCCGCTTCACTGGACAGACTTCCTCTCTCTTTACCAGATTTGTTGCTACGGTGACAGGTACGGTGACTGAACTGACCGGTACATTGGTGGGCTTCGGCTGCAAAACACATTATCAACAGTTCTTGAACAAAGTCAACAATTTGAACAAAAGGTTTTTAAATAAATGTTTGTTATCTGATGGCATGTGATATGGTTAAAGGGGGATTACCTGTATCAGTTGTAGGGGATTGATCAGTTTGAGGAGGGAGTACCTGTATCTGCTGTATAGGGACAGGACATTGACTAGTTGGAGGAGGGAGTACATGTATCTGATGTATAGGCTGTAAGAGACAGGACAGTAACTGGTTGAGGAGGGATTAATTACCTGTACATGTACTTGCTGTAGGAGACAGGGCAGTAACTGGTTGAGGAGGGATTAATTACCTGCATCGGCTGTAGGAGAGAGGGCAGTAACTGGTTGCATTTGAGGAGGGATTAATTACCTGTACTGGCTGTAGGAGACAGGGCAGTAACTGGTTCAGGAGGGATTAATTACCTGCATCGGCTGTAGGAGAGAGGGCAGTAACTGGTTGAGGAGGGATTAATTACCTGCATCGGCTGTAAGAGAGAGGGCAGTAACTGGTTGAGGAGGGATAAATTACCTGGATTGGCTGTAGGAGACAGGGCAGTAACTGGTTGAGTAGGGATTAGTTACCTGTACTGGCTGTAGGAGACAGGGCTGTAACTGGTTGAGGAGGGATTAGTTACCTGTACTTACTGTAAGAGACAGTGCAGTAACTGGTTGAGGAGGGATTAATTACCTGTACTGGCTATAGGAGACAGGGCAGTAACTGGTTGAGGAGGAATTAATTACCTGTACTTGCTGAAGGAGACAGGGCAGTAACTGGTTGAGGAGAGATTAGTTACCTGTACTGGCTGTAGGAGACAGGGCAGGAACTGGTTGAGGAGGGATTAGTTACCTGTACTTGCTGTAAGAGACAGGGCAGTAACTGGTTGAGGAGGTATTAATTACCTGTACTGGCTGTAGGAGACAGGACAGTAACTGGTTGAGGAGGGATTAATTACCTGCATCGGCTGTAGGCGAGAGGGCAGTAACTGGTTGAGGAGGGATAAATTCCCTGTATTGGCTGTAGGAGACAGGGCAGTAGCTGGTTGAGGAGGAATTAATTACCTGTACTGGCTGTAGTAGACAGGGCAGTAACTGGTTGAGGAGGGATAAATTTCCTGTATTGGCTGTAGGAGACAGGGCAGTAACTGTTTGAGGAGGAATTAATTACCTGTACTTGCTGAAGTAGACAGGGCAGTAACTGGTTGAGGAGGGATGAGTTATCTGTACTGGCTGTAGGAGACAGGGCAGTAACTTGTTGAGGAGGGATTAATTACCTGTACAGGCTGTAGGAGACAGGGCAGTAACTGGTTCAGGAGGGATTAATTACCTGCATCGACTGTAGGAGAGAGGGCAGTAACTGGTTGAATTTGAGGAGGGATTAATTACCTGTACTGGCTGAGGGAGAGAGGGCAGTAACTGGTTGAGGAGGAATTAATTACCTGTATCGGCTGTAGGAGAGAGGGCAGTAACTGGTTGAATTTGAGGAGGGATTAATTACCTGTACTGGCTGTCGGAGACAGGGCAGTAACTGGTTCAGGAGGGATTAATTACCTGCATCGGCTGTAGGAGACAGGGCAGTAACTGGTTGAGTAGGGATTAGTTACCTGTACTGGCTGTAGGAGAGAGGGCAGTAACTGGTTGAGGAGGGATAAATTACCTGTATTGGCTGTAGGAGACAGGGCAGTAACTGGTTGAGGAGGAATTAATTACCTGTACTTGCTGAAGGAGACAGGGCAGTAACTGGTTGAGGAGGGATTAGTTACCTGTACTGGCTATAGGAGACAGGGAAGTAACTGGTTGAGGAGGGATTAATTACCTGTACTTGCTGTAGGAGACAGGGCAGTAACTGGTTGAGGAGGAATTAATTACCTGTACTTGCTGTAGGAGACAGGGCGGTAACTGGTTGAGGAGGGGTTAATTACCTGTACTTGCTGTAGGAGACATGGAAGGCGACAGGGCAGTAACTGGTTCAGGAGGGATTAATTACCTGCATCGGCTGTAGGAGACAGGGTAGTAACTGGTTGAGGACGGATTAATTACCTGTATTGGCTGTAGGAGAGAGCGCAGTAACTGCTTGAGGAGGGATTAATTACCTGTATTGGCTATAGGAGACAGGGTAGTAACTGGTTGAGGACGGATTAATTACCTGTATTGGCTGTAGGAGACAGGGGAGTAACTGGTTGCGGAGGGATTAATTACCTGTATTGGCTGTAGGAGAGAGGGCAGTAACTGCTTGAGGAGGGATTAATTACCTGTATTGGCTGTAGGAGAGAGCGCAGTAACTGCTTGAGGAGGGATTAATTACCTGTATTGGCTGTAGGAGACAGGATAGTAACTGGTTGAGGAGGGATTAATTACCTGTACTGGCTGTAGGAGACAGGGCAGGAACTGGTTGAGGAGGGATTAATTACCTGTCCTTGCTGTAGGAGAGAGGGCAGTAACTGGTTGAGGAGTGGTTCAGGAGGGATTAATTACCTGCATCGGCTGTAGGAGACAGGGTAGTAACTGGTTGAGGACGGATTAATTACCTGTATTGGCTGTAGGAGAGAGCGCAGTAACTGCTTGAGGAGGGATTAATTATCTGTATTGGCTGTAGGAGACAGGGTAGTAACTGGTTGAGGACGGATTAATTACCTGTATTGGCTGTAGGAGACAGGGCAGTAACCGGTTGAGGAGGGATTAATTACCTGTACTGGCTGTAGGAGACAGGACAGTAACTGGTTGAGGAGGGATTAATTACCTGTATTGGCTATAGGAGACAGGGTAGTAACTGGTTGAGGACGGATTAATTACCTGTATTGGCTGTAGGAGAGAGGGCAGTAACTGCTTGAGGAGGGATTAATTACCTGTATTGGCTGTAGGAGACAGGGTAGTAACTGGTTGAGGAGGGATTAATTACCTGTATTGGCTGTAGTCGTGTAGGCACACTTGGCTGAACTTCAGGTTTAGATACAGGAGGAGCTGGTGTGGATTGCTGTCTTGTGACAATTTCCTTTCTCAGATTTTGGACAATTACTTTCTGTAATCAGAAAAAAAATTCTTCTTATTGATGTTGTAGCTGTGAGATGTATTGATGAATTATATAACTCTGTGTTAGAGTTAGCCTTGAAATAAAAGTACTAATTATGCAATTATGTTGATCTAATTAGAAATATTAGCCATATGTTTCAAATATTTCAATTCAAAATTGCCATGGTGTTAACACAAATGCTGACTTATAGGTACACATACCTGCACTAGCTAGGTCTCAATCAGAATTACAATTGCATTGTGCCACATGTACATGTTATTTACCACTTCAGCTATTTAATACAAATATAATTTCAAACCATCCAATTTTAGCTGGTGTTGCCTAATGCCTCCTCTTGTTTTTAATCTACACAGCTATATTAATACTGTACATGTGTAAACCATTTTAAAACAAAATCAAAAAAGTTGCGCTATGTAAAGCGAGATGTTTAAAATCTTACTGGGTATTTGTCTGAATTTTGGCCCAAAAAATAAAGGCAGGAAATTAAAAGCCCTGTAACTGTAGAAGAGTTGGAATTTATAATGTATGTATATATATATAATTGCCAGTTTATCATGACTAACTCGTACAGGTTATATTTGTCAAAATAGTTAATTGTATCCCATATCTGGCAACAGAGTTGGTAACTATACATTTATATAATTCATACATCCAATATCTGCCTGCCAAACACCACACTAGTGGCCATCGGTGTAAAATGAACATTAGTTACAACTACCCCTATAAAAACTGAATCACAAAAATGTGTTTTATCTAATTATAAACACAAATGAAGAAGAGCAATATGGACAAACTAACACTGTTGGTAAGTGATGCTCCGGCCTCAAAATACAGACATGCTCAAATTCTACTTTTAATACAGCGATATAGAATTACCAATACCATTCAGTTGATGCTGGGATGTATAGAGAATCTCAGTTAATTCCTGTGGCTGATTCAACACAGCATACAAACACACTGGCTTGACTATTTTTAGATTTATTGATTTTTAATGGAGCAGCACCATACTATGGTGAGTTTGCCATGTAAGTATAGGTCACTCATGTAGCCTCTACACAAAACTATCCAATCACAAGTTATCTCACCCAGCTCAAAATCTATCCAAGCTATGTTTTAGAATTTTATAAAAGCAACACTTTGCTTGATTATATCTCTAGATCTTTTATTTTCAATCAAATATATCAGTGCAATAAAAAAAATAACACTTGGCAGGCCAGGTCTCCCAACTTTGTTTGCTGGTAAAATTTATATACTTAAAAGCAACTACTGGTTTCAACTTCAATATTTTTGCTACAGTATAAAAATTTGCCAATCAGATTTCCATTAATTATAAAACGCATTAGACTGGTATCGGACAATATGAGTTTGCATATTACATATTACTTATTTATATGAAAGGCTTCGGGTGACACGTATACGTAGGTTAATCTAATCTACCAGCTCATGGTCGGAGTGAGTTTGATGGTATAGCTTACTGTTAACATTCAGATAGATCCACCAGGGTACAATCTAGACACATTAATCTATAGTTCTACTATATCATAATAGCACGTTTATGTTAGTTATAAAAATAGCTATCTTGCTTTAACGTCTATGAACAAATAAATGTCCAACCTGCCAACAAATATTTTCCGATTTTGTAAATTATTTTAACAAATCTACAGAACCAAAAACATTAGATCAATTAGCCTATAAATTCAAGTCTTAAAGAGCTAACAGGAACCTTCTCAAAAGTGCTAAAGTTTTTTTTAATAAACAGCGGACATTGAAGAAATGCAGCTTGTTTTTATCTCTCTTTCTGGCATCATGTTATTATGGCCATTTCTGAATTTTACGTATGTGTGTGGTATCTGTATTTTCCTAAAGATAAAGCAGATTGGTCTGAATATTTGAAGACTAATTACTATAATGTATTTGCACAGTTGATATTGGTGAAGTGCTGAGAAGTATACACATACAAAGAAACTGCCTGGCTTAAGCTGCAGACAGTATCCTCCAGTATTAATTCAGATTATAAACGACGCATGCTTAGCAGTCTGACCAGTGATCACGATGACACATCTGTCAACACTGACACAGGTAGCACACAGGTATAGCAAGGATCCGTCACATCCAGTGATTTTCAATAATGGAGCTCGGTGACAACAAAAGCAGGTACAAGATCAATTTGTGTTCACCTCCTCGTCATCAGCTGACCTTTTGTAAGGGAACAGGTGCTTGGTGTGACATACTGTTAGTTCACAAACACAAAGGCTCACTTTCATCTGATAAGGCCTCAACTCAGTCACAGAACAAGACTTATAAAATAACAAGGGAACAAGGCTACCCTGATTCCCTTCCCCAATGTTAACCACGACTTGCTGGTCCCCAACCTTAACCACGACTTGCTAGTCCCCAACCTGAACCACAACTTGCTAGTCCCAAACGTGAACCACGACTTGCTAGTCCCCAACATTAACCACGACTTGTGTAGTCCCCAACCTTAACCACGACTTGCTAGTCCCCAACCTTAACCAGGACTTGCTAGTCTCCAACGTTAACCACGGCTTGTTAGTCCCAAACGTTAACCACGACTTGTTAGTCCCCAACGTTAACCACGACTTGCTAGTCCCCAACCTTAACCACGACTTGCTAGTCCCCAACGTTAACCACGACTTGTTAGTCCCCAACCTTAACCACAACTTGTTAGTCCCCAACGTTAACCACGACTTGTTAGTCCCCAACGTTAACCACGACTTGTTAGTCCCCAACCTTAACCACGACTTGTGTAGTCCCCAACCTTAACCACGACTTGTGTGTCCCCAACCTTAACCACGACTTGCTAGTCCCCAATGTTAACCACGACTTGCTAGTCTCCAACGTTAACCACGACTTGTTAGTCCCCAACGTTAACCACGACTTGTGTGTCCCCAACGTTAACCACGACTTGTGTAGTCCCCAACGTTAACCACGACTTGCTAGTCCCCAACCTTAACCACGACTTGCTAGTCCCCAACCTTAACCACGACTTTTGTAGTCCCCAACGTTAACCACGACTTGTGTAGTCCCCAACCTTAACCACGACTTGTGTGTCCCCAACCTTAACCACGACTTGCTAGTCCCCAACGTTAACCACGACTTGCTAGTCCCCAACGTTAACCACGACTTGTTAGTCCCCAACGTTAACCAATCAACTGCACTCACCTGAAGACTTTGAAACATGGCCAAGATGCTTGTTACTTATGGCACATTCTCAATAATTGTGTATCCATAATAAAAGGTATATTACTGAAAATACTTCAAATAAATTCCATATATATCATCGGTCTTTCATGTGCATAGAACTGCACCAACACACAAAACTTTATTATGAACTCGTAAACTTCATCATTTGATAATTGAACCGTTCTCATGGAAATAATTGGAATTAGTATTGTTTTCAGACAGGATGTTGTAACTAGTTGGATATCTAAAAGGTAGGATGTTCGTTGGTGGGGGGTCAGGGATTGTGCATTACATTTTAAATTGTCGTATTTTACTACTATTTCCACTTTTCTTAGATAAATGCTTACTTTGAGGTGTTCCATTTCAATTTTATTCAACTGATCCGATACAAAATGTTGGTAAAAAATTGAAAAAGTGTTTTATATACCGTATACAGTGGAACCCACTTATTATGATATCGGTTATTATGATATATATCGGTTATTATGATATTTTTCCCCATGTACCGATTTTTTTCCTTCTTAATTAAGCAAAAAAATATCGTTTATTATGATGAGGTCAAAGGTAGGACTGCGCTCATTATGATATTTTTTTCTGCCGTGAATGGTAATCAAAGTACTGAAAGTACTGAAAGCTAAGGCAAAAGATATACATATATTATTTTTGGAATGGAGAACAAAATAAAGACGAAGTTCCCATCATATTGTACAGAAGGATTTACTGTTAATTTGTTATGAATCAAAGTTTTATGTAAAAGTGTACCACTGTGAAGTTATTCTTCTTGTGTGTACAGTATATCTTTATAGGTTTGTCAGAAGAGGGGTACCAAGTTTCCTCTAGAATATATCATTTTAAACCTTTGGATAATTAATTTGCATAGGAATTAGGAATTGCTTCCCTTTGTCCATACAATGTATTTCATAGAACATTAAAAACTGAAACTGGCATTTACCCCTTTGACCAATACCTGATTATTTTAAACCATTGAATAGATTATGCACAGATTGTGAACATCTTTGAACTTTGCCTTTGTTGTTGAATAAGATATCAACCCTTGCCTTATCTAACAAAGTTACTTGGCATAAAACCATTGACCAATCAGAGTACAGTATGCTAATTAATTAGGCATGGATTTCACTCAACTTTGAACTTATCGTCTAAGTTTGTATATTGATCAATATATATTCAAGCAAGTTATCTTGTAAAGTGTGCACATCGACCAGGGTTGGCATGCTTTTTAATACGTGTGAATTTTGTTCAAGTTTCAATTTTGCATCAGTCAGTGTATATTGTTACAGAACAATATTTATAAGGATGTTTACTTGCCGAAACTAAATTGTGGATAAGCAAGTGGATTACTGCTACCCATAAATTTACAAGTCTCTCAATAATTTTGAAAAACTTTTAAATAAAGTGTTTTACATATTCACTGCAGTGAAAAGGTCTCTTCTTATGAAAAATGGAACTATTTTGAATCTGTGTTCCCATGAACAAATAATATAAAAAGCACTCTAATTCAATATGATACATTGTTGTATGTTTCAATATTGAATAAGATAAACAAAATATAAACATACATACTCACACACACACACAAGATTAGGAGAGTTACATTATTTTCCCTCTATTTCCATTGCATAAATTCTTCACAAAGAAAACAACAACTTTATAGCATATGTTCAGCTTTATCATCTTCATAGGCTAGCATTTGAAATAAGATGCACATATTAATTTCAAATACATTTCAAAAGAGTACTGCAAATGTACCAGCTAGAACACATACT